CATAGCAGGCCGTCTAAGGGGTACCAATAAAAGGAATGAAAATGGTGCAACTCAAATCCAGCCCCACTCAAGACAATGCTAATGGTGGGTGAGTGTGATGCCAGATTCCCCGATTATATACTCTCTTCTTTAATTGAAAAGGTAATAGGCTGGGAAGAGGCTTTTGGTGAAGGTTTAGAAACCTGTAGATTCTTATTTGTCCCCTCTAATTTAATAAAGGGCATCTAAAAATGAACATACTAACTCGACCTCACAGTCAGGAGAGTGAGAGAATGTAAAGATGAGAACTGTCAATGGGTCTATCCTAACAAAGAAAAATGACAGTCTGTTTTCATGAGGCGTGTGCTTCTTTGGCTCCTTGTTCCAAAAGACCTGCATGTATTTGGTCATATCTAAGCTTCTATTCCATCCCCGAGGGGTTGAAATCCAGCTTAAAGCAAAATAAAACGAAGAATCTGGCTCCTTTTACTTTAAGTGAGTGGAATCTCCTATCTCTGGGGACCAACAGAAACTATGTAAATAAGATAAAAGAGACTAAACGTTATTTAGTCACTACTTAAATCCAAGGTTCTTCTTTCTTGAATAGCACCAGAGCTTTGTTAATTACAACCTAGACTATGAGTCTGTTAAAGTTAGAAGAGGTCATTTATTTTAATAAAATTCCCTTGTTTTATGGACAAGGACATTTAGACCCAGGAAGTTTAAATGCCTGCCAAACTCCTACAGCTAATGAATGACAGGTCTGGGAGTAGTTTTCTGGACCGTATATATCAAAGGAAAGAAGCTTGACTTAATAATAATAACCTAGATCTAAGAAGGTTGTTGCAATCAATAACAATGAAAGTTCGTTGTAAAGTTTCACTTAAAGCCCTTACAAAACAGTCTGTTTTAACACATGAAAAATGCCATTCGTTTATTCAGACCTGTTCTTAATAACTATACACTGGAAGTATGTTTTACAAAACCTATAAATCCTGAAGAGCTGAAAGAATATCCAACTTTCTTTTCTAATTGATTTACTTCTCCGTTTCCCCAGACCGCCAAGGTAAAGCATATACAGTTTATTTAAGGGACTGTTTATAGACTCTTAAAACTAAAAAAGACCCCAGAAACTCTCTTTCAGTTGCTCTTAATTGAAACCATCCAAGATGGTTGGTTGTCTGTCAATTTTTTAAGAATCTCCAAGGAGAGAAATTCCACAGGCCCATAGCAGCATGTTAAAATGGTTAATCACCATGGCTGTCAAAAATTATATCTATGGTAAGCTTCACTTCTCCTATTTCATTTGAAGCTCTTTTTTTTCTTGGTGTTTTTCATGCAAAATGAGGTTGTAATGAGCCACCCTTTATAAGGGCTCCATCAATCTAGTAAGAAAATCGCTAGCTCCTTCCCAATGTGCTTTCATCTCCATTATGCCACCATTTTTCTCACAGGACTACAAGAACACAAGGCTGGCTGATAGGCTCTCCTATCTTCCCTGTGATGCATAGGAAAGAATGAGTAATTAGCTCTTCATTGGGTCTTTCATTTCATAAAATGTCTAGGGAAGCTGCATTAATTATACATGAACTGTTCCATTTATGATGGGATAATGTTCACAAACAGATAATCTAGAAGGTTGCTTTCACTGTGCTGTAGTGGAACTTGGGCTTGAAGGGAAATATGAGCTCATTCATATCATTGGGTCAATCTACACACAATAAGCATTACAAAATATTTTATTCAGAACAGTTCTAATAGAGTTAAAAAACTCTCCTTGTTAAATATTGCAGATTGACAAAAATGATAGATATGGAGGCAATTTTCTTTTAGATGTTTGAATTTCAAACTAAAATCAGAAACTGCTTTCTACAACTAAAAGAATTGTACTTCCAAAATGGATTTGAAGCAGTTTAAAATAAAAGGCACAGCCACAATCAAACTTTGAAAATAAGTGTAAAGAGAATAATAAGAGTCAACTGACAGTGTATAGAGGTGGGGAAGAATGCTTCCCTCTAAAAAGTATTTCAAAGACTGTGCTTAGAGCTGACTTCTCCACACACAGTAAATCTCAGGGGATGAAAAGGAAACTGAATGAAATTTGTTGACAACAGTTAATGCCTGTAGGAATAATTGGCTCAGACACAAAACAGACATCAATGTAGCTTGGGGATGACCAAAATGCAGCAGCCTCTAAGTCATTGTTAGTATATATTTTTTCAGTTCAAAAAAATAAAAGCAGTTTTATTAAATAACTGGATAACCATGAGGTGAGAAGTATTGTCCACAGTATTTGACAACCTTAATTCTTGATGGTTCTTAAGACTAAGATCCCAAACAAGTAATTCCATTCTATTCAATTGGATTCAACTGGATTCAATTCAATTCAATCCTGTCAGTTCGACAATCAAATATGGGCAGCTACTATAGCATCCAGGCAATGAGCTAGACACTTGGATTCAAAGGTAAATAAATATGTCCTTTGGCATCAAGGAACCCATTGACAGGGTATTATTCTTGGCAGGGTAGACCCTTGTAAGGTGAGACCACAAATGGGACAAAATATTCAGGAAAAACATAAAGGATATAATCTATTCTCCATGGTTATTTTTCTATTACAACAATAATACTTAGTTGCATTTTTGTTTTACCACTCAACTCAACTGTAAGCCCCTTGAAGTCAAGGTCAATCTCTCATTCATTTCTAGGCATCTCATTCATATCTCATCCAATGCTTACACATAACAGATGCTCCATCAATGTTTTGAATTAAATTAAAATAATCTAAATGGATTAACTTCTTTTGGGCAAATAAGATTGTCCAGTTGATTAGAAAGAATACTTTTAACAAGTATTCTCGTTAACAAGAATACTTTTGTGCATGAGGGTATGTTGGACACTTTTGTGCATGAGGGTATGTCGAATTAACATAAGTCATGGAATTCTAGAAGGCAAAACTCATGACACACATACTTTCAATGATAATACTGACAATATATGATTTATAAAACCACTTTCTAGCTAAAGCCATACAGTAAACATCAAGATTTGCTATATATAACATTTCCTTTTCAGGTTATTCAGACACAATTTTTAAAAATTTGCTGAAATTTGATTGTTGCAGTAACAGAACAAGAGAACCTGGAAATTGGTTTCCATTTTAGTTGTCCAATGTTCTTAAGTATCTGTGCAAAAACATGTAAGTATCATACCGTTACTTAGGAACAATCATTTTTTCCATTCTCATTTTTCATCATTTAATGCAAACATCATAGGCATAGAAGGATCCAATTTTCATGCACTGTGCATGGAAATTCTGGAGCATGTCATGTTGAACATCACAATTCAACCTGGCACGTAACAGAGGACACTTCTAGGCTTGGCAATTACCTAGTGAACTGGATCAAAGGAAATTGCACAAATGGATTATCAAGGGGAATAAAAGTCCTCTTGGGCATAATAAGTGAGAAACACGTTTTCATTTTTTAAAAAAATGAAGATCAGTAGCTGCAAATTATAGAATAATTATGACCCACTGTTGGATCATGTGATGTCCCACAGTTATCTTCCACAGGGTATTTTAAAGGTAAAACAAGTCTGCTATTGGAAAACCACTCACCCAATGCACTCATTCATCTGCTCTGCAACAGAGAACTGGATAGAATTGCTTTATTGCCAGAAAAATAAATGAGTTCATTCAATTAAAGCACTGGCTGGAAGCAAATAGTGGGAATTTGCCTATTCAAATAGTAGAAGGTACTTCTGATTCTCTGTCACTAGTGATTTAAAAACTGTTTGTTGCCAAATCCACTGCAAGTACTGATCACCAATCCCCTCACAAGCCTCTTCCTTCCCATCTCCCTCACTGATCTCCAGACCGGTATACACAGGCCACCCTCTACCCTGCCAGTCATACACATACATACCCCACCTGCCTAGAGAGAAGCTGACATTTGGGAAGGATGAGAGAGACTTCAAGTGTGTGAGTCATTACAGGAGCTATTCAAAGCATAGTGGGTAACTGAGGTAAGCTGTCTACACTGGAGTGATATGAACCTTTAAGAATGACTCATGCTCAGTTTCCTGGAACTCTCTAAAACTCCAAAGAATTATAAGGAATGAGCATCTGGCTTTAAATATTTTGCAGTCCTATACAGTGAGATAGATGCATGGGAGCTAGATTCTTTAAGTGATCAGTTCCCATAGGAATCATTGACTTTTGCTTGTGTATATTATTTACACGCCTTGACTTGGCTGTCTACTTTTCATTGGCTGTTGACTTTCTAATCACCTAAGAGCTACTTAAGAGATAAGTGACCCTGTACTTGTCAGAGACCCTTTTCCAGATGGTGACATCATTGAAGGGTCCCAGAGAAGAACTATGCCAAAAGAGAGCAACAACAAAAAATCAAGGTCAATTGTCATAGAGGGCAAATTCGTATGGCATTTCAGTTTGCATTTAGAGACAGTCTCTGTATTTGCAAACAGTCCTGCCTTTAAGTGGAGTTCACCTTCTGTCTGTTCATGGTGATTTCATGTTGAATGGAGACATCTAGGATACGCCCTTTAATATTTTTTCCCAGATCCACATGACTGGAGAGTCCTTACTAGTTTACACCAGATCACATGGCACTTAAAGCAGCCCTGCATGTGTTCCATATGTTTATATGTGCAAACATAGGTTTTGAAAACAAAAGCATCAATACCTCAGGGCTATTTTTTCCCATCCTTTCATTGAAAGGAATGAAATAGTGAGGGTAGGTCATAATAGTTGAAAGAAGGCTTAGCAGGAAGTAGTTAAAGACGAATTGTAAAGGAGGAAAATTCCATCCTAGATCTGCAAAACCTGCCAAAGCCCCGCCGAAACACTACGCTTACTTTAAGGTGAGGAATCTCAGAGGCCTAGGATGGTTGCCAGACACGGGCAGTCATTCAGTTATTCACACACTCCCTGCGGTTGTAAATCCACAGAGCTGTACACGTTAGACTTGAGCAGCACAGTGAGAGGGAGGGCTACTTACTGAAATAAAAGCCCCTGTCTCCACACACGAACTGAAGAGCATCCACCAGCTCAGCCCCGCAGAGCGTCTCCGGTCCAGCCGTGGCGGAGCTGGTGAAGGTGAGCAGGCACAGTGCCAGGTAGAAGAGATGCGAGGAGGACATGGTGTGCATCTTCACCTGCCCAAGAAACAGAGGGAGGGTCAGGTTTCTTCCTTGGTCCTTGCAAGGGGAATGGGGTTGGACAGAAGTGCATTGACTCCCACGATTCCATGACTGTCATTAATCAGGACTACCCAGCACAGAAGTCAATAGAGTACATGAGAACCCAGTGGGAGTTGTGGATGGAGCATGTCTCGGCATCCAACAACCTGTGTTTATTCCCCTGGCTACTGTGGATCCTTGGAGGAGTCATCTCTGAACCCTTTCATTATGGGTTCCTATTTCAATGAATTGAGATAAAATATCTAGAAACATTTACTACGGAAATGAAAGATGCTATTATTACAGTGGGATCCCATATCACTCTGAGACCCTGGTAGGACTTTTGAATTATCAAAGATTGTGCTCAGTACAGATTCGAGGCCAAATAAGTTTTGTTAATTTAAATTTCTCAATATTGGCCATCCACAGATGGTACATGCATTCATTATTGAGCAGTATATTTTTAACCAAAACATTATTCCCTATTTTTGACTAAAAATAATTTGCTATGGCAAAAAAATGGCTTTTGACAATACTATATATCATCATAGGGTTTTTTTTTTTTCTCTTATTATGAGAGACAGACAGAGAGAGTGAGAGAGAGAGAGAGAGAGAGACACTGATTCCTTACCTGGGGAGTATCAGCAGTTGACACAACCACAAATAGAAGAAAATAACAGAAACAGAAAAAAACATGAGAATCAAAGAATGAAATTGGCTCTAGTAGAAGCCACTCCTGCATAACTAAAGCCCCTGGCCTCAAGTCCAATATCAAATCAACACATGTTGAGAATCCCTTCTGTGTGTTTTTATTTTATTTTTAGTCACAGGAATTCTGGCTTCATCTCTTGGAGGGACTTATGTGTCACTGTAACTATTTTATAGCAAAATATACCCAGGGACCCCTGGTTGGCATGACTTAGTCAATGATAGACAGCCAAACAGCAGCCTTGCCAAAAGCAGCAGTCCTGTGGCTCAAGTCTCCATCCTCACTCTAAGTAGTAGAAACCATGCTGAGGCAATCATTAAGTTTTTCCATATTGTTACTTGTGGCACAAAGATGTGGCTTTTTCCAAGAAGCCTCCCAAGGTGAGTTGTTTCACTTCTCTCAGATGCATCTACTTTCAACATCACAGGAAGAGTCACTGACAGGGTGTTAGGTGAGGGGCCCTATTAAAAGGGTTGTGGAGTCACTCTGGAAGCTATAATTATAAAAAGAGGCTTTTTTGAACCTCACAGTAGTGGCAGGTCCATTCAACCCCATCAGTTTTGAAGAAACAGTCATTAATTTTCTGACCACCCTCCTTGCCCTCCATGGACTCTCAATTTAATGGCTCTATATCAGTGGCAAAATTTCCCCCATCATTCTAATGAAGATTTCCATTTTTGTAGTCAGACCTTCACCTCAGCAATTGAAGGAAAAAAAAAAAAAAAAAAAACTCAAACCCCTGTCTCTTGTTAACAAAATGTAAATATTTAGTTAATGGTTGTAAAGCAGTTGAAGATGAAAAGCGCCCTCTATTTGCAAATGATCATAAATAATGGACATAAAATAGAAGAGGAGGTAAAAGCTCAACTGAATATTTACTGCATTTTTCTCAACAGGCTCTCTACATGGAAATCTTCCATCCCCCTACATAGCCCAAAACACTGGGACTGGAAGAAGCAAGTTATCATCCAATTCTCTTTTTTTTTTTTCTTTTTTTTAGTTGTAAAATTAGTGGGGTTTTCCTGTTCAGTATTTCCATTAGAAACCTCAACAAATTCAACCCAACTGGACCTCATGGCATTTTTCAAAAGAACAAACCTGTGATTGACCTTGCAGAGCATACCCCCACACTGCGGGAATGGGCCAGTTCTAGAAAGTATGTTATTCTACCAAATCCTATTTCTCCACCCCTCCCTTCTTTGTTGAGTTTATAGCAATGCTGAAGTCTAAGCACCTGCAATGGTAGATGCCTTCAAGTTCTTCAGCTTTCGTGAAATCCAGGGAATAAAATTACTCAAGTTATAGCCTTAGTGAATTTCAAACTTCATTAGATGTCAAAACTATATTTTTAATAGTGAGCTCTAGTATAACACATTTAAGTGCAGCAATACATATAAATCTCTAGAACTTAATAATTTAATATTTTTTAAACAGATTTTTCTTTTCCTTTTTTTTTTTTTTTTTGCTGAGTTATATTGTCAGATAAATCTCAGTACTTATAGTTCTAGGACAAGATAGAACCTCTAGTGCATTTTCTTTTAGTTTAGGGAACAGTCCAGTACACCCACAGAGAACCAGAGAATTTATCACATTATGTTCCCACAAGGGAAAACAATACCGAACTTGCTTAGGAGTTAAAAGTGTGAAACAAGTGGTCCCATATGTTCATTATTTTCTTGGCCTTTTATTTTGCCAAACACAAAAGAAATGAATAGAGAGAAAGGAAAGATATGATAGAAAAAAAGGGGAGAATCAGAAAGACATGAGAAAAAAAGAAAAAAAAATCAGAAAACACTTTCTCAAAAATCATTCACAAACCCAAATTTTAAAAGTTCTTTCTTTTTTAGAAATTTTAAATAAATGGAATATTAATTGATTCCAGATGTCTGGGCTACAATGAAAATGCCCTGTAAAATTTGAGGGCAACAGTCATAAGAAAATACTCACTGTAGGTGTAATCATTTTTGTTTGTTCCAGGTCTTTTACAGCAGGTCAGGGTGGGTATTATGAGGCCGATGTGAATAGAAAACTGAGGTCTTAAAAACATGTGCTGCTTTGTGGGAGGGGTTTGTGAAAGCATCTAGTTACATTTGGACACCCAGGCAGGTATGCTATGAGCCTGGGTAAACTGCCTTTTGTCCATTGAAACAATGAACAAATTGCACAGCTGGGATTTAAGTCAATCTTTTTTCCCCAACCAAGCCACCTATTTCCATTGTATGCCTATTGTAGCCGCCCAGATAGCGACCCAAGCTCCAGTCCACTCCCTTACTCCCTTCCCCCGACTCACTCACTTGGAAATACCTTGAGACTCAGAGTACAATCAGTTTGTGAGTTCTGCCTCTGGGCAGGACACCTTTACTCACTGAATTACATGTGAAAGACCACGCAGCTCCCTCAAACCACTTCCTGCTTCAAGTACAGAAAAAAGTAACAACTTATTAAGAGCTCCACTTCTGAAGTGTTCAGCATACACAGCATGAAAAGTGCATTTGGAAACAATTTTCTTAACTTGTAATTAACGCAGAGATAACGTTCCACGGCCTCTTTTATGATCCCCTAAGTAGGGAGACAAAAACTCCAGCTGCTAGATCCCATAGTATGTATGCACAGTGACGTCATTTCTTTGAAAGCAAGGTGGCCTGCATGTGTTGGCATCTCAGGAACAGCAGAATCAGGTGCCTGACAAGGGTGTATCTTTAACTCCCAGAGCCACTTACTTGACTAGGGAAAGTCCTAGCGGTGAAGTGTTTGAAAGCAGCAACTGAATGCTGCACTAAGTGGCAGAGACGTCTTATGAATTGAGCCCTCAGGCAATTGAATCGGTGGAGCCAGTGACAGCAGCTTAAAAGCGCTTGCAAATTGAAAAAAAAACACAAGTCTTGAAGGACATAATTTTGCTGAGAATGGAAACTAGAACTACGGCCAGCAATCGGAAACGAGAAGTCGGTGCACCGACAGCAGCAGCCAGATTTACCTAAAGGGACTTCACGACACCGAATATAAAATCAGAGTTTTACAACACAAAACCCCAAGTCCAAACTCTGCCCATGAAAGTCCTCTTCTAAACAGAAAAGTTGGGCGAGCAGCTCTTAGAAAGTTTCTGCTTTCCATATACAGTATGTATTTGTTTAAATTATGCAAATATGCAAGGTCAGCAAGAGTTGTCAAGGAGTTCTTTTTTGGAAGAACAAATTACACTTTACTCTAACTTTAACTCTCTCTCCGGGCATAAGTGCAGAGTTCCGGGACCTTAGCTCCAAAGATCATATTTAAAAGCTTTAATATCATCTAAAATATAACTCTTCATATATAGCATGTCTTGTAAATAAAGTCCTGATGAGTTACACACACACAGACACACACACACACATGCACAAGAACATGGTCTTAAAAATAAAACATCTGCACCTGCAAAAGAAGAAAAAAATCCCCAAGTTCATATCCACGCTCTATAGCCCTTAGCCATAGACAGGATTTAAAGGAATCTTCTATAATGACACCACGGAAGCCTTGCAGAAGTGGGGGATTTAGCATAAGTACCTTGCAATAGTTTCTACTCAGACAGATATCTGTGCAAATGCATCCATCTCCCCGAGCTATTTTTCAGATTCCACAGAATTGCATGTTCAGCAATTTATAAATAACTCCCAGTTCCGAAACAATGAAAATTTTAAAGTGAATAACAGTTCTAGGCAGAAGCAAACAGTACACAATTTAAATAAAATTCCCCAATGACTTCAAAGAGTAAGAAATATTTACCTTCAAGAAATCACAAAAGCAGCACTTAAATAATTGGGTTGGAAGACTGCTGATTTTTCCCATTGCTTCTGAAGTACAAAGTCTGAAAATGAATTGGTTAGCAGGAATAATGAAGCAAAAAGAAATCCAGAGAGATGGGAGATGTTGAGAGCAATGTCACATTTCAATTTTGAGGACTTTATTCCATTGCGCAGGCTCTATCTGCTCTGAATTTAGCAGTGACAGTGAGATTTAGCAAACAGAAGAGGGATTTAGAGAAAATCCTCACATTTATCTACAAAACACAGACACTGTAGACAGGAAACAGCTGGGGGAACATTTGCCTTCTCTCTCTCTCCCTCTTCTGGCAAAGTTATCGAGTAAGGACTTTTTTGGGCATGGTGACAAATAACATCATACCTTTGCATTTTAAAACTAGAGCACAGAAGCATTTTTTTCCCTTAAAAGAATGTGTGTTAGTGACAGGGTTAGCAGACATTAAAATACTTATGCTGCCATAGAAAATAAGGATCTGTTTTCTGATTAACTTTCTGCTGGGCACGAAGACACACACGTCTGCTCATACACCTTACCAGTATTAAAGAAATGTATACATGGGGGATGGGAGAGCAGTTTTACATTCTAGAGCAAATGCGAAATTTAAAACAAAAAAGAAAGAAAGAACGATAAGACCCTCTCCAGCAAACTCTAAATTTTAACCCCGAAGTGACTGGGGTAAAGCAGATTGGAAGACAGCACTCGGGTGACCCCTTGTCCTAGTTGCCAAGTGAGCGGAGTGATCTCATTTCCTAGAACCTATGGAGGGGCAGGCAGCATCCGATTGGTCCCTTTAGGACACTGTCTCATACTTTCTCTCCTGCGATGAGGCAAAGACTATGCCGAGCTGTAGAAACCAACTGAAATAGAACATTTTTCTTTATTCTTTAACTAGGCTGCCTGTCACTGTCCCCTCCCTACCCCTGCACTCTGGGAGAAGGGGACCTGGGGGCCAAACAATTTTCCTGTTGTTTGAATTTTCCACATAACTCAAACCTGTGTGTGCGTGCGTGTGTGTGTGTGTGACAGAGGGAGTCTGTGTGCCAGAGTGTGTTTTCTTTCTCTGATTTTTGTGTATTCTAAATAACACCAGCTGGCTAGCAATACCCTCTCAAGGGTTATGATGTCATTCAAATCCCTCAACTGGGTGACTGGCCGGCAACATGGTCCAAGCCAGCTGTTTTGCTATTTATAATGTACACTTGCCTTTGCCATTGAGAATTCAGTTCTGATCTTTTGTTGATACAGTGTGTACCTATTTCCCTTTGGTTTTGTGAAGCAGTAGATAAGAAAGTGGATTATAAAATAAGGTTGCAAAAACCCAGAACAGACATACCTCTTTCCCTAGAGAGCTTTCCAGGCCTGGTTTCCCAGGAGTGGTAGAAATAACCTAGACCTTGAATTTTTTCTTTTCTTTTTTTTTTTTTCCCCACATGACTCTCAGGGGACTGACACATCAACTGAAAACAGAGTTCTGCTTGAAATCCTACTCTGGCTCTTTATGTTATCCTGGGGCCAGAAATTTGTTTGTAGAAATGGATGCCCTAACAAAAATCAAATAAACCTGTTTTGTTTGGAAGGGGGTTGGGTTTGTTTGGGTCTTCTGTGTAGTTAATACCTTGTAGCAATGTTTACCTTTCAGAAATCAAAGTTAGAAATCTGGAATTATGTTGTGTCAATGGTGCACTATGTTCAGCAACATTTTGTGAGCTCTACCATGTGCCCAACTACACACATCCCTAGGAAAACAGAGAGGAAGAAGAGATGGTCAAGTCCCTTCAGGGACTTGCAGCTGAATGTCAGAGACAAAGAGGAAAACTTCACAGTCATGTGATGGGCATGTGCTCTTTTTAAAAACATGAACAGTGCACAATGAGAGGGAGTGACACATTCTCTGGGAAGACAGGGGAGTAAAATATTTTGGAAAATCCAAAATGAGGGAGGCAAACTGTGTCATGAGAGGCTTTAGGGTACCATGTTGGGAAATTTCAGTGGATGGGATTTGACCCAAAGAGTATACTAAGAGGTATCATCAAGAGGTGGCCCGGTAGGTGGCCCTGGATTATTCTTAATGCAGGGATTACCCACATGTGCAGCTGTGTGAGTAATCCCTGCATTTAAGAATAATCTGTGGCTTCCTTTAATAAGCTCTCCTTGTGCACTTGATTTACAACAAATCTTTTTCTTTTCTGCAGTTTTTGTGGATCACACCCTTTCTGAAAAATGTCTATCTTCTTATGGACTTTGATGATGTAGATTGTATGGAACAAAAGAGCTGATCTCACCTGTCTTCCAGATGAGAAAGAACCTCTTCAACCAAGTTTGGAGAGTCAGACACTGGCTGGAGTCTTGGTGCTAAGTTCCTTGTTCCAACATTGGGCACCATTACAGGTGAAGGCCAGGACTTTGTTTAACCCCTTCCCACTGCAGTTTTAGCATACTTTAATTGTTCCAAGATGTCCTAGAAGCTAACTATATGTCTTCAAGTCTGTCACCCACTTTGATGTGCTCTCTTGACATGCTCAGTGCACAGATAACCTTATCCACAAGCATTTCATATGAAAGGCTGTTTTGGGGACAGATGCTGTACTCCAGCGATATTGACACACTGACTCACAGTCTCTCGGTTTTATAACCCCAATTACCCTTAAAGGATAATTAGGTTTTAATTTATGTCCCAGTTTTTATGTCACAATCAAAGAAAACTGAAATTTCAGTGAGTCGTAATTGTCATCAGCTGTGCTTTGGAAACATTCCGATGAGAGCTATCAGTTTCCAATGGGGGAAGCAATTTCCTGAAGTGATTAATGTATATTTCAATTGGGAGAAGGGTCTATATTTTTGGACAGGGTGAGCCAGCAATGGAGCAGGGCAATAATTCCTAGAGAAAAGGTCATTTTCTTTGCTAATTCCAGGAGTCAATACAAAAATGAAAGAGCAATAAACGTGCCACCACATTACTTTTTAATGGTCAAGTGCTGTACCTGCTTAGGAGTAAAAGAAATGAATGCACCTATTACTACAAATTCAAGGTAGTAGTAAATCTAAAGCCCAAGAAGAGTTCAGGTTATGAAGTCCCATTGGAGAGAAACATCTAGGGTCATTATAAAATCATGGAATGATTATGTAGTCTCCTGCCTGCAAAAATCTGACAGTGAGATATGGCCACCAAAATAGCTAACTGCAAGGATGTGCTCATCATAAGAATATCCACTCCTGGAAATTCAAAGATTCACAGTTTCACCTTTTGCATGTGTAATGCCTGTGGGATATAAATAACTCTCCCCTAAAGCCTTCTTCTTGAGTAGCATATTTGCATAAAGCTACAGCCTCAGAAGCCTTCTGACACCTTTCGAGCACACACAGAAAAAATTGTTCATTTCCTTAAAGGGCAAGCTGGCTAAGGTTCACAGAAAGCATGGGTGGGGTGGGCAAGGAGGCCCTGTCTTCTCCCTAACTTTTTTTTTCCTTCTCAAGCCATGTTCCCAGTCTCCTGTGTTAACTGGAGAGGCGTTAGTCCAAAAGGTAATTTCATATCCATGTACAATAGGGCATGTTTACAATTTATTTCATTAATGTCTTTGCTGATTCCCAAGGAAAGCTCAGAATGGACATTTGGAGGTAAGGGAATTTTGGAATCAAATAAAGGGTGAGGCGTAAGGTTCTAGGGCAACCACCAGGCAAAGAACTTGGGGGAAACTATTGGATGTTTCTCTTGGATCATGGTTTGTGAGGATGGTTGGTCATGGGTTGCTCAAACTAATGTTTGAGGTCAAGAACTTGTCAATTCAGAATATAAAACTCAGAGGAAAAGACAGAGTCTCAAAAACTCAACATGCTGCCGAGCAAGTGGCCTAATGTCAGCTCCGAAACATCTGCTTAGAAAGATTCCTGTGATTCCCCAGGAAGATTTGCTCAAAGGAGCTGCTCTAACTCCTTGAAGAAGCGTTTCGCCCACGACTAGGGAAAACAGATATAGGGAGGAGAAATCCTCTCACTAAAGAAATCAGTGCTTTCTTTTCAACATCAAACTTGGATCTTATTTCTTCTAAAATGTCAAAAGGACAAATGCTGGAAACAGAAACGAAACTGTTGTGGTTGTGTGAGCAAAGTTCTTCTTCGTTATGGCACAGGAGAAGTCACGGCATGGGGTAAGGGTGGGTTGGTGGAGTGAGAGAACTTGAGGACTCGTCACACTTGCCCCACGTTCCGTAGAAGGTAGGGAAAAGAGACACCAATGCCAAACTGCAGGGGCAGGACCCACGTAAACGCTTTCTTGGGGAATAAAAAAATGTGCGCGCCCTCTAGTGGACTTCTGAGAAACTGCCACTGCACTCTTGACCGTGGCTGTGCGTTTTGGCAGGAGTGGGGGGTTTTTTGAAAGTTCTGGATTTAAATACATTTTAAGCTGAAATTATCTTTAGTTTTATTAAGTCTTTTGAAATAAGTAAGATAGATATTCAATTCACTGTAGTTTAAAAAGGGGAAGATTGATAATGGGGGAAAGAAAGATCATAAACTTCATCAGGGCATGGATGGATTCCTCATGGCCATATTCCCAGCTCCTAATTCCGGGTGCATGAGCTCGAAACATTTTGTTGAATGAATGAAGGTCTAGAAAACAAATGATGATAAAGGTAAAATGTAAAAATTGCATAAACCCCTTGAGGGTAAAATAACCAACCTCCTCATTTTATAAGAAAAATAAGACCAGGAAGAGGGGCTGTTGGAGGATAGAAAAATGACTTGTCAAGCAAGACAGATTTAGGTGCTCACAAAATAGAATTCAAACCCAGTCTCCTTGTCTGTTCTGCAGTATTTCTATCATATTAGTTTTCAAAATGTGGGTTATAACACTCCTGGTCAAAGACGTGGCGTTAACGAATCACTTAAGTATAGAGGTGGTTCCATTTACAATTCTCTTTCTGATCCTGAATTTCCAAAGAAGAAAGTCTCAGTTTGGCACTAGTTTGTCTTCAGTGCTTCCCTAGCACTCATTAGTCTCTCTTTATTTTATTATTTTTTAAACTTAAGTTTTAATTTTTGTGGGTATGTAGTAGGTATATATATTTATGGGACACATGAGATATTTTGATACCGGCATGAAATGTGAAATAAACACATCATGGAGAATTGGGTATCCACCCCCTCAAACATTTATCCTTTGTGTTACAAAAACCTCTCTTTTTAACAACCAAAAAGTGACTCTCCAGTCCAAAGTCTTTCCGGCAGAAGTTTCTATCCAGAATTTAATACTGTTTTGTTTTCATGGAATTTGCTTTTAAGCAAAC